AAAGAAAATCATTCGTTAAGTCTAACTATCTGTTGTGCAAATGTCCATGGCATCAGGTCCCGTCTCCTTTTCCTTGGAGAAAGGACTCATAGTAATTCTTACTCATTTTTCGTAGCTGAGATAGATGGAATCTGCAGGATAAGCTGGAGTTTTTTTCTTTTTAACAAAAGAATGCCACATTTCTCAAACTCTGTAGTATACTTTTCGGTTTTATTTGGATCCAAGGAAGACTGCAACTCTTTATATGTGTTAGACATTTTAATTTTCAAAATATGTTTACGTCTGCCTCCGTATTTGATTCACAGCTTCCTCGATGTTTAGCTTAAACTGTGAGAGCATTCAGTGAAAGTTGTCAATGAGAAGATAACGATGGATTAATAGATAATAATTTATTTTTATAAATCTGCTTATTGTTTCCATTTTAAACACAGATTTTCATAAATTTGTGTCAAGTTAGAAGAAAAAGACAAAAGTGGACACTTTAGTATATGTAAATGTTTGTGCTCAATGGGCAAAATTAATGCCCAATAGAAATTCTAAAAAATGAAATATAATTGTAGAAAGAAGAGTCTAGTTTACAGAGAAGAATTATGAAAAAAAATGCCTTATTATGAAAATCATTTGCTTAATATTTCTTTACATTTAGAAAGAAATTTGAGCCTTAGATATGAGTTGATTTTTAGTCAATATTTAACTTGAAGCCTTTAAAAATGTTGTTATTGGTTTGTTGTTTAGTCATTGTTTAAAGGATGATTGTTTTAGTTATTGTTTTGTTTTATATAAATAGTTTCGTCTTTCTCTCTTACAAAATGGAAAAAGCTGTTGTAAAAAAACAATAATAAAAAGGTTGAGAAGTCTATTAACAATATTAGGAAAATTAAAGGGCCCTGGGGTATGTCTGTAAATGAGAAGATATTGACTAAAGTCGTGACCCTTATTGTCAATTTGAAAAGTCCTAGTTTACTACTCCCCTAACACAGCTCAAAAGAATAAAGGTATTTTTCTCTACAAAATCACATTGTTCTCTTATTTTAGCTGCAAATTCCCTGTTTGACAAAAGAGAAGCAAGATAAGCGGAACAGGAAGTAGAAACTTGCCTCAGGGAATCTGGGTTTCCAGCTTCATCAAAGGCTATGGAGAGGATACGACAGGGAAATGGTGGCCAGGGGCTCCCTCCACAGATGGAGACTTGGGTGACAAAGTCAAGATTATTATTAAATTGGTTATTAAATTTATGCCTTAATTTTTAATGAGCACTGTGATATAGCTCCGCCGAATGACCAGCAGACATACAGGAACTAACCTTTACTGGCACGTCAAAGAACATACATCTAGGATTATTTGACACTGCCTTCTTATCCCACAGAGCAGTGGACATCACTGGGAAATGTTCTCTTAGAAGAAGATAAAGGAAATACATATCCACTCCATGGAACAAAATTATTATCACAAGCACAAGAGATTGTTTCTGGTAAATTTTTTAAAAATGACAACTAAAGGGGCTGGCCCCGTAGCCGAGTGGTTAAGTTCGCGCGCTCCGCTGCAGGCGACCCAGTGTTTCGTTGGTTCCAATCCTGGGTGCGGACATGGCACTGCTCATCAAACCACGCTGAGGCAGCGTCCCACATGCCACATCTAGAAGGACCCACAACGAAGAATATACAACTATGTACCGGGGGGCTTTGGGGAGAAAAAGGAAAAAAATAAAATCTTTTAAAAAAAAATGACAACTAAAAATACTCTGCTGACCATTTTGCATGTATTCTTCTTTTTGTGACTTACATTCCTTACTCAACATATTCATTTTAAGAATTAGGGAATTTGATTTTTATTTAGATTTAATGTGTACAATTAAGGCATTTCCCTCTAATTATCTTTAACATAAACACAGTGGCCACTGGAAGATATGTAGTGATTTTAGAGAGAGTTTTCTGTTCTTCGCTTTGTTTCGGTTAGAACAGATGTATCTATTCTCCAGGAATTTCTTGATAAAAACAGGATTCAAAAGCAGGTTGTAAAGAACAAACCTTAAAAGATAATCACTATATTTTCTCGTTGCATGCATTTTCTAGGAAACATATCTGTAACCAAGGTCTTCCAGGTCAAAGAGTTTGGACAAACTTGGGCAAGCAGTAAGGGAAAAATCTAAGGAAAAGGAGAGCAACATTGAGTTTTAACACACCATGTGTGCTGTGTGTGTGTGATGGTTTAAGCCCTTACAGTTGAATTGATTTCAGAAAGGGCGATATCAATGTAAAGTGTAACAAGGCTGCATGAGTGGTTCATCAGACCTCCAAATATATCAAAAATAAGTAAAAAAAAAAAAATTGTGGATTTTTTTTCTATTTTGATTTTGTAAACAACTACATGGAATTCTTATAACTTTAAAAACCAATACAACTTAAAGAGACATTGTTTTTGATTCAAGTATTTTAACATTCTGCATTGTTTTATTGATGACTAAGGAATTCAGACTTTGGAATCTTGATGAAGATAGATTATGTATGGAAGAATTAGTGCTAGTCAGGATGCTGTTGGAAGAGCAAACAGGTATTGATTTGTCAAAAACAGCAATTAACAACCAAAATTAAATAAGCAAGCAAACTCTGCATTTTTTGTCTACTGTGCCCCCTAAAGACAGGATTCTTTCCAACTACAATGTGAAAGTGTCTCCAGAGAATGTATTCACTATTAATTGGAGAGTTTATGTGAGGGACTTTGATGTGCAAATAGTTGAGACTATCAATAAATACTCTCTGTATGCAATGAAATTGTGTCCCTGTGAGAGGAGAATGTCTTCAGGTCTTGCACCTTTTCTGTGGAATCCTTTGCTCTGGCTTTTGAGAAAAGGTTACAGGATGTAGTTCTTTAAAAAAAATCTGGGGCAGACTTTGATGGTCCAGGTTTTAAATTAGGTATTTTCTTGGCTATCCCTTCTTCTCTATTTCCTGTTCTAAGTAAATTGACTTTAAAAACAATAACAAAATCCGGCCCCGTGGCCGAGTGGTTAAGTTTGCACGCTCTGCTGCAGGCGGCCCAGTGTTTTGGCGATTCGAGCCCTGGGTGTGGACATGGCACTGCTCATTGAGCCACGGTGAGGTGGTGTCCCACGTACCACAACTAGAGGGACCCACAACTAAGAATATACAACTATGTACCGGGGGGCTTTGGGAAGAAAAAGGAAAAAAGTAAAATCTTAAAAAAAAAAAATCACAAAAGTGATCCTGTCTATTTCTCCTTGGAAATTGAATGGAATATTATAAAGTAAGTCTTAGTCATAGATTGATATACAGATTCTAACAATTTTGAGTCTCACAGAGGAGGACTTGCAGTCGTTGACTTTCCAAAGGGTTGTGTTGAAATGACTGGATGACAAATGACCAGGTGAAGTCTGAGTTTTGACAGGGTATTCCATTCGGAAGGGAAATCAGAGATGAACTAGATCATCCCCTTGTTTGCCGGATGGGGTCATGGAGCTACTATTGTGTGCAGATAAGTTAGAAGCTTTCACAAAGACGACTTTCAATATAAAGATTTTCTAATTCATTTCCAACAATAAGAGATTGTTTGCTATCACACAATTAATTCTTTCATAGGCAACAATACACATGCAATCAATACAGGTATTCATGACAAAAAGTTATCAAAATACTAAAAGACTAGGACTTCTGGTCCCCTCTGCTATCATCTTCATGTCTTCACTGAGTATCCAACGTTAACACATAGCTTCCCCACCACCATTCTGCCTTCACCTCAACTCCTTCCTGGAGTTCAGTGGGCATTAGAAGTCAAAGGCACCTGCTCAGGCACCTTTGGAAGAAGTTAAATTTGTAAAAAATATATTTGAGATCATTATACACTATAGGGACAGCAATCATATATGCCCATAGTTTAATCTTCATTTCTAAGAGATAATCTAACAGAGATTTTATTCCAGCATCTTTTGAATTTTCCAACCCGATGATATTTCTGTTTCCCTAAGAAAGAGAAAGAACTGAAAAATGACTGTATTATCTAAATGTTGCCAAGTTGGCTGATCTCTAAATGATTTGATTTTGTTGGTACGCCACGAGGCAATCACTTCAATGTTTGTCAAATTAATCAAAAATGAAGCTACTAAAATAATTGAGAACCTAAATTTAATATATATTTTATATATACATATATCTTTATATGTGTGTGTGTGTGTGTACGTGTGTGTAGCCACAGTAGGAAACAGATTATTAAGGGAGAACAGTATAGATCTTTAGGAATGAATTTCTTCCTTTACCCTCACTATTTCTTTAAAAGGGAAAGAATAAAAGATGAAGAGATAAGCTTATTTAAAGGCCTCATTCCCCATGATATATTAGGATGCATTTAAAATTTAGAACAGGCCAGAAACACTGTGCAGTTCTTTCCTGGATGAAGATTGACTTTCTGAAGACTAAAGTACAAACACAGTATGGACATGCCATCACCGAAGACACTGTACTGAATCTATACATTTGAATAATAATAAAAAAGTATTCATTATATATAAAATGTTTCCCAGATACCAAAGATCAAATAAAAATCCCACCCCTCCTGCTGTGTTCCTAAGTATGCTATATACTCATTTGGGAAATGTTTCACAGCACTTGTCTCAGAGCAATATTTTCTGGTTTATGGGGCTGGAAGCAAAGGGACCACCATACCCCCTACTTTGGGAGTCATGGTTTCCTATAGCACCACACTGCAGGCCAGCTGTGAATGAATGCCGCATACACTCAACATATTCTCGTGTTGACCTGGTTATCGACAACCTTATCTGTGGTCACCAGATGCCACACTCAACGTGTAGCTGTTATTCAATCTAGAACCCAATGGGCATTCTCTTGAAGTCGGCTTGGTCCTTCTATTCTCCTTTTGGTAGGTCTGATATGTTATTACGATAAAAACAGATTAAATCGTGAAGTCCTAAAAACAGCACTGTTCCTCTTCTAGAGGACCTTGCTATTGCTACTTAGAAATAATGTAAATCGTTGGAGATGTGATAAATTTATAAATATTTAGTCCTTCACCCACAGAGATATTGGATTAGAGTATATAACATACAGCACTTAATGTACATAAGAAAATTTGGATGCCAATCCTCCAACATAATTTCTACATTTCTACTCTTTCTCAGTGGCGTAAATTTGGTCATGTATTTTGAACAAGAGCATTCCATAGCAGTCACCGGCAAAATTAGAATAACAAAAGCTTTATAAAAAACAGATGTATCGGAAAATGATTCAGAGTAAAAAATAATGAATGACATTCATTCTCTCGTAAATAATGAATATGCAACTCACTTGATTACAAATCTCCAAATATCTACTCACATAACAAAGACAGGAAAAGTGAAGCAAAATCAAAGTTGTCTTGTAGAAATAAACACTTTTCTATAGGCACAGGAGCTTGAAAGATAAGGGACTGATGGCTCCAGGTGTTTGCCATATTAGGTCGACTTTGAAAGTCATAATACGGTCAGCACTTGTTAGCTGGTGCCCAAAGACGGGCATTTTGAGCTTGGACCTTTGTCACAGGAAAACTTATTACTCCATAAAAAGACAAAGGACCACTGAAGTTAACCATTACTATTTGTTCTTTTGGAGGATGTTGTCTTGACTATCAATTAGGAAGTAACTCTCTAAACTTTACATCAGATTGCCAGTGGAGGTGCCCGAGTGCACGGCAGTGTTTATAATCACATAATATATGGTTCTACCTTAAAAAAAAAAATAAAGGGTTTTATCAGGACTTAAGTTGGATTGACAGTCTTCAATCTTTTCAGAGTAAATAATATATTAAAATAACTGCACTGAGTCACAGAGGAGATTACCTCCTAATTAGGTCAATCCTGTATGAATCCTTTAGATGAGCAACAGGTAAAATTTTAATGAAAAACCCAAGAACAAGGTGGTCTTCAACAGATTTGTGAGGCCTTCCAGTTAATGTCTGATAATTATGATAAATTTCAACACAATAACATACTGGATGTGCAACTTATGGGGTTTTTATATACCTGTTAATTAAGACTATCCTTCTAAAATTTTCCCAGGTAATATTTTTAAAAGAGAACTTAGATAATCTAGACATTAAAAATTTATACTAATCTTTAAGAGGCTAAAATATTACCTCTATATTCAAAACAATGAAAGCATAATGAGACAAATAATGAACACCACAAATCTCTAGTTAAATATAAAACACATTTCTACCGAAGTGTTTTCAACATTTGAAACCTTGAATTTCCACTAAACAATGTCGTTAAGAACACAATGCTCTTCCTTTTCCCTGTATGGCATCATATTTGTTATTAAACAGTGCTCTCAAGGAGCAATTTGCAATGTATTTTCAACAGAAACAACTTAACTTCCAATAAGAGTTGTATATATTCAATATTTGATTCAAAAACAGGTACATTCCCTTTTGATGGAATGTGAATCCTCCACGAGAAAATTTTAACCAAGGTTTTCCCAAACTGCAGTAAAAGAAATCTTTTATATACTTTCAAATACTGTGCCTTTTTATTTAAAACAGTGTAAACATAACAACTCAACACCACCAATAATTGGAAAAAGACTGGTTATGTGAACACTAATTTCCTTGAATGCCCCATGAAAGTCAGGGTAAAGAAAACACACAAATCTTCGGGAGAAGTTTCAGTTCACCTTAGCAGTGGTAAAAATATTGCTTTATTCCAAATGAACATACAACACAATTTACTGTTCTTTTGGGGGCTTCCTGTGAACTGAGTAGTCTGGGCTCGTGATTTCAACAATTTATTCTTTCCATATGAACCACAGAAGCCAATGTCTTGTTCCACCCATAGTAGACTTGCTACAAAATAAATACTAATGAGGATGACGAGAAAGCAAAGGGTAACTGTCGATTTGATCATTGGCTTGTGTAAATAACTTAAATATGCATGATTCAAAATAAACACACATCCTCACCTCACCTTGAGATACTTATATCATAATGAGCCAATAGTTGTTCCTCTAAAAAATATTCACATCAGAAAATGGTCTAGACATTGTCAAGAGGTTTATAGGACCCCACCATGCAAGTGACCTTGATTGAAGAACTTACTAACTGAACATTATACTTAATGGAAAATTTTAAAGTGAACAGATCTAAGAGGGAACATTTATTTTTTTTCTGAATACTAGATTCCCTGATGTTTCAGAACAAATTTTAGCAAGCTGGATACGCACACACATGCACACACATACACACAATGAACACATGTGCATACAACATACCAGTGCTCCACTGAGCAAGCCCACACACACACACACTCGCACACACATACACACACACACTCAGGCGCGCACGCGCACACACACACTGAGAAATGCCCCTTCAGAGCCCCTAAATGATCTCAAAGAAAAACATTTCTATTAGCATGATTTTAGTGACACGACATTGTGATTTTTTTTGTCTCTTTTTCTATAATAATTTCATACTTCCCTCTGAGATTCTGTGCCTTCAAACTTCAGAGGAAGCTGGCACATAAGAGTAGCTAAGATTGCCCCCAGTGACTCCTTCTATCTCCTGTTCTCCTTCTTCTTCCAGAGTTTTAGTGCCATTCTTCAAAAATTAAATAGAAAACACTACATTTGTTGACATGACATAACCCATGATGAGGCTGTCGAGTGAATAGAAATTTAGGGGTTGGGACCGGCAAGCCAAATGGCAAGGGCCACCTGCTCATCGGCACGTCTGCCCTCAGGATACAGCTCGTCTCTTTGAAACTGGGTCACTGCCAGTGCTTTTTTAAGAAGACACTGGCACTCTGGGGCTGAGGGTCTGTATCGCCCACATCTAAGAGCCAAGGAGGACAGTGTTGGGACTAACTGAAATTGTATTCCGAATCCTACCCAAAAGCTTTAGTTGTAAGCTTTATCCCTCCTGAAACATTTCTTTCCATTTAAAAAAATATTTTGTTAAAAAACACTATGATATGAGGGCGATAGACTATTTGGTTTCTTCTAAGTAGATGCTCTTAAATTAATGCATATAAATAATTTGTATTTAATTTCCTCTCTTTCCTGTTGAGCAAAGCATAGAATGCACAGATTCCTACAACTCAAGTCACTTGGTCAATGCACAGTCTCTTTGTATTTCACTTCTTAAGACAAATTGTGCCTCTCGTTCTGATTTGGCCATGGGGCTCAGGGGCAGAAAGGCTGTGTTTTCACTTGCGCTGTCCTCGGTTTCTACGCTGGCCAGTTCGTAGTCTTCTGACCTCCTGGCATCAGTCAGAATTCGGATCTGCTCCTGGACAGTTTCTAGCAATATTTTTACTTCTTGTTGTTCTGCTATAAGACAATCGCTGACTGGAATACTCACATTGACAATATCCGCAGAGTAAGAGTTTTTGCACCATTTGATGCTTTTGACTTCAGAAATCCCTGGCATTTGCATGCAGGTTTCCTCCAGGCCCACCGAAGGGATGATGGGCACGGAACTGGCCCTAGTGGATGAATATCCCATCAGGTCCTTTTGATCCAAGCTATTAAAATAGGAGTTTGTCTCTCTTGAAGGCAGTTGCATATTTATAGATGCGTTTTGTTGGGTTTTTAAACCAGTGGATGAGTACCTGAAAGAGAAACAAAGAGTTGCATATTCTGCTTTCTGTTATCCTCCTTTTGAGCAATAATCAGTCAACAAAGCACTTTCCACATGCACCATCTCACTGAATTCTCACAGCAACCCCATGAGACGGATAATATGTTCCCAGTTAAACAGAGAAGTAAACTGAAGTTCAGATAGGTGAAGTGACTTGCCCAAGGTCACACAGAAAATAAGTGACAGACTGAGACTCAAACCCAGATCTTCTTACTTTAAGTCCAGGGATCTTTCAACACACCACAGCTGTAAAGGCAGGTGGGATATAGTCTTCCTCACCTCTATCCTAGAATACAAAGTAAATGGGGATTGAGCGGTAAGTGTGGCCTTTCCATAGTGACAGACAGGAAACCCACAATGGCATTACTCCACTCCATCAACTTGACCACCCTCTTAGCCCTGGTTTAGTCTGGTAGACTTGTTGTGGCCACCCTAGTTGGGGGCAGTCAATCACAAAGCTGGATATTATGCATCAAGTTACTACGGTCCTGAGTTTTTCTGCTTCATCCAGACTCCAGGGAAACCAAATCCAAGTTCCGTTGGCACTCCGCTATGAAGGAACTGCCTCACTGCCAGCTTGCTGACCCTGGAAATGGGCATGGGGGGCACACAATTCCTCTGTCTGCCCAGGGACGCACATGAAGTGAGTTCCATAGGGCCCCTACCAATCTAGCAACATTTCTCACATAGTTTCAAGAGTCATGTAAGTTAGTTCATTGATACATGGCCCTAGCTTGTCAAGAATGCCAATGTGCCATTCCAAGTCATTTGAATACGCTAGAGTCTGGCTAGCCCCCTTCTTGCCTGTGCAGAGCTAGCGGATTTTCCAGTGCCTCTGAACTTCCCAGGGCCAGAACTTGGGCAGCCATATCCTAGAGTCATAGAAACATGGTTTGGGGACTTGGACAATTGTCTTTATTCCATTCCTCAGTTATTTGTCCTTAATTTAAATGTTAAATTAAACATTATAATTTAAGCATAATCCAAACATATCCGCCCTTCATATAATACATCTCATCCCTCTTGTTTTACATTAAAACGTAAAGAAAAATCATGTTTATACATGGAAAGAATAATTGCAATGAGATGTGTTGGACACTAAATACAAGTCTTTATTAAAAAGACATGATCCACCAGAGTGAGAAAAGATGGGGAACAAATTGAGGGGTTGTTGTAGCCCCCTTCTCCCTTACTGTGCATAGTACAGAGTTGGGAATCCATAAATCTTGATGGGATGCATGAATGAATACATGAAAAGATCTTCAAGGTAAAGATTCCCTTTACATACCCTTTAATATCCATTTCAAACGTAATAACAATAGCCAATATTCGCACAGTGCTTTTAAAAAGCACTTTCATCTCTTATTACCTCATTAAATTTTTTTTAAAAACTGTGTGGTTTATTTATTATTATTACCATGTAATGGATGAATAAAGAGACTAATGGTTACCCAAACGAATTGCTCCAAATTGTACCTTTAGTAAGCAGCAAAGGAAGAAGTGAAACCCAAGTTGTCTTATTTTAACTGTTACTATCAAAGCCAGAGATGAGTGGGCGTCCCAAGGTGCACCAGAACACTTTTTTTTGAAATATATAAGTTTTACGTGTGCAAATTGTATAGCCACGTACAAGAAAATTTCCTGGAGGATCTTACTCCTTTCCCTTTAGCGTTATATGACTGAAAATCTGAGCCTAAAGCTTCTAATCAATTAATCGACCTCAACAAGAAGAAAGTGGGCACATTTCAAGCTTTTGTATTCTGTTCTTACCACCATCCTGTCAGCACTATTAATAATGTTCAAAGATATAGAACATCTGTTATCAGATTCATCAATGACATAGAGCCAAGAAATACAATTAGGATAAAATCATATTTCATGTAGATATCATGAGGGTATATCATTGGGTAGAAGCTAATAGGTTGAAATGTGAAGGTAATAGGTGCAAATTCTTATACCTGGATCTAAACGTTATTTGTAAGAACGTTGAATAAATATGTAAATATCTTAGAGGATTTAGTCAATTGTAGCTTCAATAAGCCAACGATGAGGCATGACTAAGAAGTAACTAAAGACAATTCAAGCCAAACTTGGAGCAGTCTAACATGGCTAAGTGCTGAATTAAGGACTTGGATGAGAAAGAAGAATTGTGGTGATTTATGGATCACCTCACAAGCCAGATACGGGATGCACAGCTGGCAAAACCTGAAATCTGAAATGCTACCATAACGTGAAGGTGCCCTTATACCATTAGAACTCTCTGAAAATCTGAGTTTGTTTTGAGTCAGACATGATTTCAAGTCCCAAGGCCGTTGTACGCTCTGGAATCTTAGACAAATAGCAGTCTCAGTGTAATTTCCTCATCAATGAAAACAATCAGGTAGGATTGCTCTGAGGGTTGGTTGAAGTAATACACCTTCGCTATTCAACCAGAGCACATTGGGAGTCCTCATGTCCTTCCCAGAGTTGCTGTGAGTGTTCTAGCACTGGTATTTGAGTAGAAGATGAACGCTACTCTCCAGAAGTGTAAGTGAGAGCTAAATTTCTAGATGTGATTCTGGATTAGAAGACTCTCAGAGTCTGTTTCCCTTGAGAGTCAATGACTCTTTCCCAAGTATGGTCCATGAGCTTGTCGTTCATTGACTGTAAAATACCAGCTCAGACTGCCCTTCCTTTGATACCGAAACAAAGAAATCACAGGTGCATTTCCTCTGTAACTATGTGAGTCAAAGCACCCTTTAAAGAAAAAAGATTCCGACAATTAGTCACTTGGTTTGACTCCCAGTAATTCAGGGGTCAGGCCAAGGAATTTGTGTTTCCCCAAGAGACTCCAAGACTCGGTTCCTGGTGCATACGGCATTAGAATGAACTGACTAAATCGAAGGAATCCACTTTTTTCTCTGGAGCTGTACAATTAGAGATTCCATTTACACATCATCATCCATAAATATGACTTTCTTCACATTTCTTTCCTGGTTTAGTGGTTTATTTAGTCAGAAAGGCCAGCATTCAATCTCAGTTCTTTTATAAGGGATAGCTCACCTTGGGCTAGCTATCTAAATTCTGCTATCCTTACTGTGTTCATCCATAGAATTCCCGAGGAATAAGTGATGCGAAGTTTGTAAAGTTGCTAGTTAAATGAGGTAGATAATTGGTATATTCTGGATACCTTCTACTTTGAAGGTGGCAAGCTAACTTTTGTGATTCCACTTCTTTCTGTCTAGCATGTGAATATACTAGTCTGATTTGCCTGACATAAGCCAGTTCAAAGCCATGCAAACCATTGCCATGATTATCCCTGAGGCACTAAGAAGGAAAGGCTCCTGAAAAATCTCCTCTCCACCTCAGGCTTCACTAAGATAGGTGCCAGGTTCAAGCTGGGCTGAAGTCAGTGCCAAGAAGACAAATCACATACTCTGGGAGCCTAACTAGCAGACAGCGCCACATGCTTGATAAATAAGCAACAGATGGCTGAAGGCTCTTGCAAATTCATTTACTCCCCCTCCAGGCTAGGGCCAGATTTGAGGAGAGCCTTTGGCTGTGAAATTCTATTACCATCCCATTTCCAGTCCAGAGAGACGGTAAGTCCCCCAGGAGTGGAAAATAGCTGTTTTCAAGGACTGAGAATGAAATTGCTCCTTGAGATTCATTGTGCTGAGCACACAGTGACTTATACTTAGAGTCACCATTTATCAACATCGGGTGCATATCACACACAGGAAAACATGTGGCTGGCCAGCTGGAGAGAATATTCCAGACCCAATGATGACTGAACCAAAATAAAGCCACCAACATGCAAACAATAAGTGTAAGTTTTCTAGGAGGTAAAAGACAAACCAGTGTCTGAGGGTGCCATGGGAATCTCTGAGCCCCTGCAGATCTGTTGTGTGTATGATCCAAGACTGTGCCTGGCACAGGCTCCAAGCATCCTTATTGCTGGTACATGTGAAATGATAGCCATGATGGTGCCCAACAGAAAGAAAGACAGCTTGGGCTGGGTTCTCTCTCTACTCACAAAATCTCTGAGCTCGATTTCACCTCACTCATTCTCACTCTAACGTTCACCCCAGGGAAAAAAAATATATATATTTATATATATATCCCTAAGGAACAGACGTGATTAGTGATTTAAGAAGACAAGTAATTATGAAACAAGATTAATTATAATTATAGGCTAAATGCAAGCCCCTTTTCCAGATATAAGGCAAAGAGAAATGCAAATTGCTTTTTGACTTGCCTTACACATTTTGGACAACTTGGCTGCTATATTGAATTTGCAAATGTCACCCCAGATTTGTACCAAATACATTTTACGGTCAATTTGGAATTGCTTCAAAATTACAAAGCCCAGCCACAAGCTATTTATTTCCTATCTTCTGATCTTCCTTAAGAAATCTGTTGCTGAGCTTTGTCAGACAGGGAATTACTGCATATATATATATATATATATATATATATATATATATATATATATATGTTGCCCAGAAGGAAGGAAAAAGGTCTGTGATGGTCCTCCTGCCTGCCTTGGCCTTCAGCTGGATATAGACAGTGTGGAGAAATACCCAGGCCAAAGCAGCATGGAAACCCGGCCCGGCTTATCCAGAGAACAAACAAACTAGATGCAGTAAGAACCTGGCTGAGCTGACAGAGGGCATGGATCCTGAAATTTCTGCAGTAAACCCTGACTGTGTTGCTCTTGAAATCAATGATAATCCTATAACAGTTTCCTTGAGAATAAATACCAGTGCTAACTTTTCTGCTGGCTCTGCTTCAGGTACACACTCTTTGCACATGTAATATTCATTAAACCTGCCCAACAGCCCTCTTGAAGGCTGGTATTATTTTGTTCAATTTATAGATGAGAAAACTCAAGCTTAAGTGCTAAAACTTTCTCAAATTTACACGAGTAGTAAGGGACAAAGATGAGATTTGAACCCCAGTCAATTTAAGTAAGGGCTTCCATGTTTGATTGAGCAGTGTCTGCCAATTAGAAGAACGATGGCTAAATCCATCCTACACTCCACTCCCCATGCCACGAGCCCTGTGGACACAGGGTAAAGGACACCTTTCTCACTGCAAGGTGGGCAGCAGTCACGGTGTCCGAGGTCTGTCTTTCCATCCCTACACCACGAATGAAACAAGATACCTGAGTTCAGCAAATTGTATGGTGACAATATGCTGTCAACATTGACCTTGACACAGTCAAGACTGCTCCATGTAAGCAGATACTATGTATATGTCACAGGTGACTGTCTAGGTATTGTCCATAATTACGTAATTTTTTTCAAACCTAAGGATAAAGAATTAAATACTTTTTTTCAAACCTAAGGATAAAGGAACACTTTAGTCCTCCTAAGAAATCTCTATTTTTTTTAATCAAAGACAGATTCCCAGTTGTTTTAGCAACTATATAATAACATAGCACCTAGACATCTATACACTTTTCATCTTAGTGTTATACTTCTTTTCCATCTAACATTTCCCTAATATCTATTTCCATTGCACACTCTTTTGAGTTAGTTTAGCTTTGTGCAACAAAGATGGGAGCAAGCATGAACAGCCAATTAATGATGAAATCAGTGGATAAAACCCCAAGGAACATAATATCTCAATTTAAAGCTATAGCACTAACAACACCCTCGCTAAATTGCATGGCTTTTAAGACCTACCCTTGACAAGGTATTGTGTCCTGATCTGGGATCCTTGATTCCTCAAGTTGCTGATATGCTGGTCCCACGATTCCGCCCAGCCTACTTCGGGGCGAGGGGGGTGTCCTCCTGAAGGCATTCCTATGGAGCATACCACTCCTTTGCCCTGGGCTGCAGCAAGAGGAGAGACTCCTGCTGGGGTGAAAGAAAACCAACAAACAAGTTGACCATAGCAAAGACCTTACAAGTGGCTGCTCAGACTTTTGAAACACTGCATTTGCACCCAGATCCTCAAAGTCCTAGGCCAGGCTGCATCGGTGACTGTTGTGTATCTGTCAGGAGGGCATTGGAAGCTGTCAAATCCATTTTACCCTTGGAGAGACTGAGACAAAGAGAAGTCCCTGAATTTCTGGCTTCCCAGTGCGGAGCACAGTGGACTAAAATAATTGCAGCTTTCTAGCCAAAGATAAGAGGTGGGCTTAAGGAATTCTCAAGCTCCTGACTCACGTGCTCTCTCACTATCTAAGCTGCAGGAGTTGTCTCTCTAATAAAAATAAAATGGCTTTGCTATTAGACACTGACAAGAACTAAACACAGGAATTTGGTCTTTAGGAGGTTATGGGGAAAATTTCACTTGTGTTAGTGGTAGAATAAACAAAGTTTATTTTAATTGGCATTCACCCCTTAACATACGTGTTAAGTTCTGAGTTGACTACCTCAAATTTTCGTCAATCTTGAGAAACTCAATTATTTTTCTTTTGAGTTGGCTTTTAATAAAAATCTGATTATATACTTCATTTTGACTCATAAAACCAAATACCCGAATAACCATATGATTTTTAGATTCCATCAAAGGGCAAAAGACATCAGTAAAACATATACTAGGTGAGATCCCTACAGAGATAGTGTTACACAAAAGAACAGCCTCTCTATAAAAATCAATTGCTAATTTGTCTCATTACCTATTCCATATCCATTTCCATCTCCACCCCACTGAATTCCCTCTACTACCACGTGAAATGGTAAGAACTTTGTTCCTGTGTAGACATTCCGTGAGATGTCAGTTTATGTGGTCAAACTGCTTTTGCAGTGTTCAGACAATAAGTGAACTTAGAATTTTGTACTGCCTTCTCATTTCACTCTGAAAGCATCAGTAAAACCATATAGAAGAAGATGAAAAAAACCTTTTCAAAATTTCAATAAACCCATCAAGTTCTAAAGGGATCAGTCCCCCAAAGGAATTTTACCCCAAATCACTATATTATTTGGAGCTCTGGAACTCTGCTCCCACCAGTATTACTGTTATTTCTACTTAATAAATACAAAGCTTATATTATTTAAAGTTAGAGTTTGAGAATCTGACATTTGAGTGTTAGTAGCCACTCTCCTGGTTTGGGCGACGTAATGGATCAAATTTCATATTCATCAAGCCAACATTAACTTCCTAAGTTAGTGCAAAGACTAGATCATACCTGGCAACACTATTATAGTTTCATTCTTTATCACAGTATTTCTTGTATATTGAGCCTTAAAAGGCCTGACAACAGGGGACCTCTAATTAGGTCACTAAGTCCACAAGTTTAAGGAGCTCATGCGTTTCCCTTCCTTCCAGCTTCTGTCTATAGCAACCAGTGGCAATTATGGAGTCTGCGGGGTACTCAGGCTTGGGTGCTGGAGTTAGTAGCATCTGGGTGTGCATGTCCAGTCTGTATGTTACTAGCAGCACGACACTGGGGGAAGTACTTGTACTTGTCAGAGTCCTGGAGGGAAATAGATGGCACTCTAAATTGGCTCATTTGGGGAGATTTTGCTATTTAAAAAAGTGTGTTCAGTATTTGAAGAAAAAATAAAAGCAATACAGGATACTACCATGCATCAGGGCTAGTGACAAAAGGAAGGCGTTCCTGTGCCTGTAACTAAAGGGACAAAGGGAGGGAGCAGTTACCAGAATGGAGAGAGAAAGGGGTTACAAGGAGAAGACCACCTGGCAGGCACTGCGGCCCCAGGAAGAGGGACATAGCTGAGGCAACTAAGCAGGGAGAGAGGGGGCAGAAGTACCAGCACCTGCCCCTCCCGCTCCTTCTATGTGCAGTGTGCAAAAAGAAATTGATTACCCACAGCTAGCCAAACTGTCACAACCACAAAGTCTAAAGGTATGAACTGGTGGCCCGTCTTAAAAAACAGCTCTCCACCTATTGATCAATCAACTCTTCCAGCCTTCTCACTCAGTGGCATTCAGGAAGTTATGGAGCAGTTTGCAGGCCACATAAATCAGTGACCAGGTTATCAATCACGAAAACGTTTAACTCTACTGCATGTTTTACAAAACAAAAGCTATGATATATTAAACTATAATTTACAAAGTTCTAAAAGCACTTTATAAATCAACCCTTGCCTATCCATCAGGACACAAGGTATGTCAACAAATACTGCAATGTCATTGAACCAAACACAGAGAAAGGTCTCCTAAAGACTTCCTTATTTAATCTGCAAAGTGACGGCTAGAAACCACAGCAGAAGCCAGTTTAGGAGGGCATGTCTCAACAAGGAGTAGGGGTGGCTATTTGCAGCTCAAATACATTAGAAGCTGTAATTCTTTTTTATCTCAGCTTTAAAACGTTTATGGCATAATATAGTACTAGAATAATATTATCCTTAATTATTTCACTTGACTGGATAGAATACTAGTTTAACATATGTTATAATCAGCAGGGGAAAATATTGTTCTGGAAGAAATATCCATCTTCTAAAGGGCTGGTAATTTTGGACTTATTTCCCTAATTAAAGAACTTCCATTAGGTCCAGTGAACTGAAATGCTCATTTCACAGGGAAATATATGTAAAAACCTCAATTGATATAACCCAAAACTTGTGGTTAATAACTAAAGCAATTATCCAATAGTCAAACATATTTCAATCCGGAGCTGTAAATATTTAAACTATTTTTTTTAAAAAAACTTAGCAAACCCTTAGTATCTCAGTCTCGAGTCAGGCAGAATGAGAATAAAAATCATTGTCAAGTACTGAGGAATAGTATCGAGAGTGACTGAAAACCTCATAGAAAATGTGGCCAGCATCAACAAAATCCTTTTTTAGGGACTCATTGAGAGGTGAAGGAGAACACGGTTTCTTTGTATATTGCACATTTCTGTCGTGATGGTTTTTAAAACATTGTCTAGATACATGAAAACCAAGGGTCAACAACATTTGTCTTTCATTGCTGGGGACAATGGTTATTTTTCACTTGTTACTTTAAAAAAATTTAATCCTTCCATATATTCTTCTATAATTTTAAAATACTGTACTTGTCACTTAGAAAAGGAAGCTGAAATGTTTAGACAACTTCCACAAAGACTGAGATATACATAAACATAATGTCTGTTCTAGCATTAGTCCCAAACTTTGGCACTTGGTTTAGGAAAAAACCTTGAATCTTTGGCGTTCTAGATTCCTTATGTACAAAACACAGAATTTGACTAGAAGATGCAGAAGAGCTTGTTCACCCTCAGAATGTGATGAAATTTATAAAATAACTTTATTTTTGGCTTTCTCCCCAAAAAGAGCCAATTTCTATGGTCAGCTTGTACAAGAGCGCCATATTATCTATTCTTGATAATAGAAGATCATATAGACCCAAGGAAAAGATTTTCCAGGCTTCTTCCCCATGCAAAGTTTTCTTTGTGTGAGATCTGTGTTGAAAGACCTGGAGCACGTCACATCAGCTGCCTAGGGAAGAAGTGGTCATTAAATTTGCAGACAGTGATATGGCAGGCTAGGAAAAACCATGTTTTAATAGTTTTCCAGAATGCAATAGTTTCAGTCACTGGTCTGTGTCTGCAGCTTTGACGGGTGTTGAAAATAGTTCCTTTAACCTTCTTGTAGGGGCACTGCTGCCTGTGGGTATCTTTGGTTTACCTGCTGAGAGCTGTTGAGCATCCACTGCATGAGGAACTACAGGAGAAGCAAGAACAGTCATCTCTCTGGAATAATGTTGCAAGCGCTTGTCACGTGTTGTCCAGCATTATTCACAGTGTGAATGCACGCATCCCCACCCTGATTAGCTACCTGTACCTGTGATGTTTGACAGATTGGCTTCCTCTGTCAGGAGAAGGGACCTCTGGGAAGGACTGGGGGCCGGCAAAACTTGACTCCATCATTTTCTCCAGTGCAGTCACGGGATGCCTTTCCGCCTTTGAATACTGTGGGAAATCACATGCACAGAGTTGAGCTGGAGATCAGGTATGAGAGGAGGGCCTATAATACACTATAGCTAGGTATTGAAGTTATTGAAACTTGCCAGTAACTTTTCTACTGGCACCTCATCAGAAGAACGATAGAGACATCATTTGCATCCCATTTCTCGCACGCTGTGTGTGCTCTCTCCCCTTCCCCGATAACTGTCTGTGATTAGGTAAGGTCTATTTAAGATGGTTCATCACCTTAGAATCCTGAGTCTGTCTTCTCATTTTAATCTACACCCACGGTACATCATGCCTAACAGCCAAAAACACAAGAGTCTGTTTTATTTAATGTAACTTTTACAAAAAAATTAAATAAAACAATTAGTAGCTAGACTACTAATAATAGGGATTCAATAGACGCTGAGTGAATGGGAACATTCTCAGAATCATGGACAAAATTGATTCAGAGTATCTACCTGCCACTTTCCACTGTTCCACTCTTTCAGCCTGTTTCCGGGTAATTACCATGTCTAACAAGAGAAATTTGTGAGCGTTTTACACTTTACGGTCATTAACTCTTGGTTTCACTGTTGGCTATGGTATCTCATAGGGCCCAGGAGCCTAAGAAAAACCTATAGAGATGACACATTAAGGAAAACTTTCCCAAAGGAAATTTCAGTGGCATCTCAACCAGCCAGCGAGTTGTCAAGTTTGACACTGCCTGGACACTTGGCACTTGAACAGGCAGTGAGGGGTAGCAGGTTTCCCTTTGAGAAACTCCAGATGAAAACTATTCTGAGAAATGATATTTTTAGAACGCTAACCAAACTAGAGAGATTTTGAAATCTGGATATTGACATACAATGTATGAACAAGAATTTCTCAGAAAAGTAAAGACATATACAATGTACACATGAGAAGGTGTGCAACTGCATTCATTGTCAAGGAAAGAAAGTCAGAATAGAGAAAGTTAAATTTCAAGAATATTAGGTAAAGGCAAAGATTCAAGACAAAGTAGAATTTGTGCTCACTTGTTGGATACAATTGGCAATATGTTCCAAAATGTTAAATATACATACTTTTTGATCCAGAATACCACTTCTAAGAATTTCCGTCATTAATATAACTGAAAAAGTTCAAAATGATGTAATTGCCAGAGTATGTCAGAGGTACAGTTTTTAATAACAGAACAGAGAACAAACACAAAAGAAAAACAATTGGAAACAATAGAAATGTCCACAAATGGACAGCCACTGCAAAGAATAAAATCAAGGTACAAAAAGGTATTCATAATATGAATCTATTTGTGTAAATAAGGAAAATGCAGTAAACATATGTGCACTTTAAGTGCATATATGTGTGTATATACATATGTATTTAGCTTTGTATGTATATATATACACATATAGATTTTACATGTGTACATAGACGTATATATTTCTGTGTACATGTGTTTATGTGTGTGCATGTATGTGTTTCCCACACAACCAAGCAAGATGTAGGTGAAAAAAATAAGTAAAACAAACTATTATTTAGGTGTTATCCTTGGGGAAGAATATACCAGTGGGTATGGTCTATGGAGACTAGGGGAAAATGTCAAGGTTATGTAACCTTAAGTTCAAAATCTCTAACTAAATGTTTTCTTTTTAAGTACTTCCCAAAGAAACCACATAGTGGCAGTAATGACCATGTCTTGAATCAGAATCCAAATTCTACAAAATGGACTTACAGTACAGAAGCTGGTCAGACTTCTCGCATAATGGAGTAAATTGACACAGAACAAAAAGAAGATATGGAGATAATTTGGAAAAGGTGGTGGTTTTCAACAATCCAAAATTACAAAGATCCAAAGAAAGATGGCAATACCTTCATAGGTGCTTCTTTATTGACTAATTAAAGTTGTTTATTACAAACCATCCATGGAAAAAGTGAATTGAGCGGACATGTTACTTAAATGTAAGCAATGTCCTGAATTTCTATCTGACTTTGGGGTTCTATAAAAGATCTATTGGGTTTTTTTTTTTCCTCCTCCAACTTCTAATAAATTCTTTCAAAAGATGAACTCAGACGCCTGGAAGGCTCAGCTACAGAGACAAGTGAGATGATCTGGGGACGTCTGTGTCACAACGGAGGAGGTAAGCCTCTGCTTTGCTCCCTCAGAGGGCTTTCAGGGGCAACATCAGACAAGTGTTTCTGGAGCATCTGAATTTTCTAGAGAAATCATCAAATCGTTAAAAGTCAACTACTCATTCATTTTTTTTTTTAAAGAATGTGTGTTAAAAAGCCTAATTCAGCTTCTGGGTGGTTAGTTCAGAGTCTCTGCCTTGAATGAGACTTGGATTCTGATAGCTAGTGGCTCTTGTTCAACATCCTGGATAAAAGTTTTGAATACAATCCACCTCTTACTTGTTCTTCTCATTCGTAGCGTTTATAACAGATATTGTGTTCTAAATCTTTTCTTTCCAATTCTTAGACTGTTGCTCTACAGTTGATTTCAATTATATGATTTTGGTCCATTAACATAAATTTGTTCCTAAAATTTATTATTTTAGATCGTTTTCCTTCTCTCACAGCCTTTATGAGAATTGTTTTTATTTCAGTGGCTGCATTTAATCTGAGATTCAGGTTTAAATTGTTACTATACCTATCCAGATTTGGTTGACACATGTGGAAACACTAAAAAAAGTCCAATACTTTGTCAATCCTTCAAACTAATATGCTATACTTGTTGGTTCAGATGAAGTTAGAAATAGCTTCTAGTTTTCAGTTCTGACAAGTAAAGAGCTTGGAGGTCATCGTTCTTGTCCTTATAACAAGAAAAAAGCTGAACTGAATATCAATAACTATTCTTATATCTATCAGATAATTGAGGTTGTAGGGCAAAGCACCACTCTGACATCTGGAGGGACAAATGAATACAGAAAATCATAGTCAAGATCAGCTTATCTACACCAGAACAAAAAAAGAAAGAAAGAAAGAACAAGTGCAAAGAATAGAAAACACTTACAAATATGGCAAATATTAATTGAACTATACCAATAACCATTTTAAATATACAAGGTATAAATACACCAATAAAAATACAGAGCTTGTCCTCACGGATGAAAAAACAAAATCCAAGTATATATTGTCTACAAGAAACCCACTTTAAATATAAAGATACAGATAGGATAAGTGTAAGAGTGGAGAAAGATATATCATGCTAGCACTGATCAAAGAAAAGCTGGAGTAGGTATATTAATTGCAAACAAAGCAGACTTCAGAACGAGGAAAAGTATTAGGGATAAAGTAGGATAAAAGAAATGTCATTTACCTAATGATAAAGGGACCAATTTTCCAAGAAGATAAAACAGTTCTTAACATATAGGCACTTGACAACTGATTATAAAAATATATAAGGCAAAAACTGGTAGAACTGAAAGGAGAAACAGACAAATCCACCATTATACTTGAAGACTTCAAAGCCTGTCCGTCAGTAATTGACAGATCCAGCAGGCAGAAAATTATTAAGGATATAGTTGATCTGAAGGGCACTCCCAAACAACTGGATCTAATTGAGATTTATAAAATACTGCTTCCAAAACAGCAGACTACACATTCTCCTTGAGCTCACATGGAACATTCATCAAAATAAATCATATTCTTGACCATATAACACATTTTAAGAAACTAAAAAAAAAAGAAATCATACAAAGTGTATTCTCAGACCACCTTGAAATTAAACTAGAAATCAATAATAGATAGTTGGAAAATCCAAAACTATTTGGAGATTAAACAACATTCCTGTAAATAACAGAAAGTTCAAAGAGAAAGTCTCATGAAAAATTTTAGAATATTTTAATTAAATGAAAATTAAAAATACAACGTGTCAAAATTTGTGGGAGGTAATGAAAGCAGTGAATAGAGGTAAATTTACAACATTAAATTCTTATATTTGAAAACAAGAAATATCTAAAATCAGTAATCTAACTTTCCACCTTAGGAAACTAGAAAAAAGAGTAGAACAAGCAGAAGAAGAGAAATAGTAACAGTTAGGAATTAACAAAATTGGAAACAGAAAAAGAATAGAGCAAATCAATAGAAGCAAAGGAGATTTTCTGAGATGATCAATAATGTTGATAAATCTCTAGTCAGGCTAACGTGGGAAAAAAAAAAGAGAGAAAATTACCAATAATAGAAGTGAAAGAGAGAGGCCATCACTACTATTCCCATGGACACAAATAGGTTAATAAAAGAACACTGTGAATAACTCTATGCCCTCCAAGTTGAGAAATAAGTTGAAAGAGACCAATTTCTCGAAAAGAAACAAATTACCAAACTTCACACAAGGGGGAATAGGTAAACGTAATAGCCCCACATCTAGTAAAGAAATCTATCTACTAGCAAAATAAGTATCATTTAGGAGGTCTGGAGATCCCAGGAATGTAAACTGACAAGGGAAACTGACTGTATTGCAAATGTGTGAAAGACCATCAGTGGGAGGTGGGGTGGGGGCAGCGCTGTCCTCAGAAACCGTGGAAATGAATGCAATCTGTAAAGGGAAAGGCAAAAAGTACTGCACATAAGCCCTGTCTCCTTGCTTCTAGGCCCCTCAGCAGATAATAATAATAAATGTAATAATAAATAAAATATTTGTGATATATTTATATATGATATATAAATATAATTATATAATTGCATATATGTCTCTTGCATTATATATTATGGATTATAATATATTAAAATATATACTTATTTGTATATTATATAATGTGTATATATAAATGTATATAATAAATATATATTATATATGTGATTATGCATTTTACGTATATGTGCGTATATATATATGTATATATATCTTTGATCTGTCTGTTGAGAACACCTAGAAGCAAGGACATGCTCAACAAAAACCCCATACCGAACTGATGAATTATGTCAAATTGACACAGGGACAAACTGAAAGAGCTACTAATGGCCAAAGCTGAGAAAATGTAATCATAAAATAAATAAAATAGTATTTACCTGTTGGATGTAAC